TTTTTCTGTAATTAAATTTCTTATTGTATTTTAAAGTTTCTACTATGATATTATATAAATAAATAAAAAAAAAAAAAAAGAATATTTTAACAAAAAGTTAATTATTTTATTTAATATTTAAGTTATTGATATGAAATTTTGTAAATATAGGTAAATTTAAATAAAAAACAGTTTAATTTAGTTTTAAGAATGTATTTAAATATAAATGTTAAAAAAAATTAAACTATTTTCTTTAATAAAATTTTGATAAAATTGATTATTAGAAAAAGTTAGCAATTTGTGTTTTTATTAATTTTTTATATAATACAACTAAACTATTATCTTCATCTTCATTCTCAAACTTTTTTTTCTTTTACTAATTATATTATACAAATAGCTAAATATTTCTTATTAAATCTTTTTTAGTCAATTTTTTTGTTTTGAAATTTCTGCATTTATCTTAGGCTTTTTATAACTTTTGCTAATCAACTATTATCTAACACCAAACTGCTACTCTTTTTATTTATCCTACAATTTAATTATTAAATTAAATAATTAATTAATTATTCAAATTGATTTTAAAAAAATTTTAGCTTTAATTCATATATATAATGCTATTATCTTTTAATAAACCTTATCAATTTAAGTACAAATACTATTACTATTATATAAAGTTCAACTTATTTAACAATTTGTTAATATACTACTATATTAAAAATAACTTATTAACTTAAACCTCTTTATTATTCAACTCAACACAAATAAACTACATTTTTGTACTGATGAATTAATTAAAAATCTTCAAATTTCATATCAAATTTGGTATAGAATAGAGTTGCAAATATAATACATCTATAAAATTTAATATAGCTATACAATTATATTCTGTATTAAACTTGAAGCAATTTTTACTTTTCTATTCACAGTTTTATCTAACATTTTACTAAATATTTATATTGATAATACAACTACAATAAAAAATCTTAACTTAACAACTATCTTCAAACTAATACAAACCAAAAACTTAAATACTATTTACTATATTAACTGCTTCAAACATCTTAAGAACATTACAACTATTTTATACAAAGTTAAATCACACTTTACAGATGCCTTTCACAATCAAGCAGATTCATTTACTAAACAAAAAACATCAAACATATTATTCAATTTAACAATTCTAAGTTTAATATTTTAAATCATTTTATATAGAATAACTACTTAATTCTCTTTAAAACTTATATTTTTATTAAAAATTTTATAACTATTTAAGAAATTATTGAATAGTCAAACTTGAAATTTCTTTGAAATATTACTAATATTAAATAGACACTTAAATTTAAAATTATTAGTTTACTTAAAAATAACTTATAAAATACTTTTTTTACATCAAAATTTTTATTAATAACCTATCTACTATACAAAATTTCAATATTTCTATATATATTTTTATATTATACCAAGTTGCTTCTATTGTACAAATACTATAGACACTCTTTATCTATTTTTATATCCTAGTAATACTTAAAATATTCTTTAATTACTTAAAAGTGCAATATATAATATTCTAATTTTACTTCAAATTACTAATATAATTCTAACAATTTTATTAATTTTTTTTTAAATTTTATACTTAATTTTTTAAATTCTCAATTCAAATATATTCTATATATTATTACTAGAACCTACTCTATTACTATTTATAAAAACATCAAATTACTTATTAGTAAACAAACAAATACACTCTTATTTTATCTCTTAAACAATCTACTAAACTAGTTTTACTAAGAACTTTAATTTATTTGTAACATGTTTTAATACTAATGAGAACAATCTTGTAACATTACATTAAAACCTAAATATACCAAAATTAGGTTACCAATTTTATCTAGTTTTTCAAGCAATATCACAATTTCTTCTTTATCTTTAATACTAATTCTTATATTACTAAATAACTTCTATAGAGTTACTTACTAACTATCTGTATTTATTAATATTTAGACAATTATTCAAAGGTTTTTTTTAATTTATCTTAGCTAGAATTTAATTTAAAATAATTAATTACAATACTTATAAAAAATAAGGGATTTAATATTATATTGGATATCTTAACATAACACAAATGCAGTTTAGAAATCTTTAATTTTAGAACTATAATTTTATATATATAAAGTTTTTACTTGAACATTATAATTAAATAAAAAAAAATATATTTTAGTCTGTATAGTAGTTTAATAATATGTTTTAACCAAAAATAGTTGCTATAATAATTGTATATAAGTAAGTAATAAATATAAATTTAAACATTATATAAGCAGCTAAATAAAGTTAGTTTGATAAGATTAAAATAATTAATATAATATTTATAATAATTAATCTTATAAATATATAAATATAAATTATAAAAAAAGACCAAAGAGATCATCTTAATACTAAAAAAAAAACAAATTATAAAAAATACTAATTATAATATAGTAGTTAAGTTGTCAATTCTCATATAACAAGTTTAGTATTCAAATCTCACCTACAATGAAATTTGAAAATTATATGTATATTATTATATATTATTTTTTAATAATTAATTGGACTAGTATATTTGTAACTTTAAGTTATATTATCTTGAACAGAAACTCAGAAATCTATATAAAGTATAATATTATATATATATAAAGAAATATTAAAAACTAATATTATATAAGACTTTAGTACAAACATATAATAAGACCACTAGATACAGTAAACTAAAAAACTGAAGAAGTAAAAACTCAAAATTCTTGAATAAAGTAATAATATAAACTTTTAACAGTATAATTTGATTAATAAAGAACTTTGAAATATTTTTTAAAAAAATAAGTGAATAAACCAAATAACAAAATATATAAAAGAAGCATATATACTAACCAAGTCACTAGATTTACTAAAGAAAAAAAATACTAAGGTATATCATACTAGACTATTAGATTGAAAATCTAAAAAATCTTGTTAATTCTAAATAAAAAGAAATGCAATAAAATAAAAAGTTATATGAATGGATACTAAGGTTCTAATAAACTTTACAAGGATAAAAATAATGTAATATAATATTTAAATAGAAATATCTGTAATTGCAAATATAATATATTACATAAAACTAGATCAATTATATGTAAAACACAGAAGGTTCTAATAAGTTTTCTGTCAAGGATAAAATAATCTTATGAGATTTGAATGCATAAATATTTTGGTAAGTGTAACCTTGGAATTACATATGCAGAAGGTCAAATAGGCAAGACCCGTAGTTGGCTTGCAGGTATGACATCTAGTGTAGAACTTGTAATGTATAAACGGACTACTTAAATTAGACACCAAAAATACATGTGCGACTAGTTGTAACCTCCTATGTATAGACGCCCCTGGATCCGTGTCCAAAAAGAATTTGAAAAGAAACATTTCCCAAAGGCAGAAACCTCAACTTAAAAAAAAAAAAAAATACAAATTGTATCTTTATAGTACAATTTGTATTTATTTATTTATATTTTTTTAAATATGTATTAAAAATTTGGAATCTAATAAATCTAATATACAAACTAACTGTATTGTCAAAGTTTTTTTTAAAAAAAAATTTTTATAAACATAGTAAAAATAGCAACGAAAATAAACATTTTCAAATTTGATTTATTTTTAATCAATCAAAATTTATCAGATAAACCAACACTTTGCATTGCCTAAAAATTGAAAAGCATTTGCAAAAAAAATCAATTTCTTGAATCTTCACTATTTGCTAAATGTTTGGTCTTGCTAATAAAATTTTATTATAGCAAGGAATAATTAATCCATTAACTTTACAGAATGAAAATATCAGAACTGTTTATACATAAAGTTTTGTCAAAAGTCTCAAACATTAAAAATAAATGAATACATTGTTCAAAAAATAAGAATAAAAATATCAAATGATATATTATCAGAGCTGTTACATTGGCCTTATCAGCGAAATTCTCTATCAAAACCTGACGATCTGCCGTAATAATTTGTATGATTCCTATGGGCGTAAGAAGATTGAGATCCTAATGGGCGCTGTTAAATAAATTCGCATTTTAGCAAACGTATATGGGTCATCAAGACAAATAAATATAGATCATATTTTACCTGCCAAGCATCAGATGGTCGCTAAAATTTCAGAAAAATATATATCTTTATCTATGTAGTACTTATAATCGAACGAATTATCAATAATAAAACTTATACTTACATAGAAGGGTGGAACAGGTTCGTACGGTGAATCAAAATGACCTGAGTGAGACATAAAACGATCATGCTCTCCGAGGTGCATATTTCGGTTCTAATACAAAAAAATAATTAGAACTAAATATGATAATCGATTTTAAAAAAGAGCCATGAAAAAAGCAATTCACCAGTCTCATTCTGTTAAATTCTAATGAATCAAGTTGACTACGGTCACGTAGTCTATTTTAAAAAAGGACAGTGGTTAGCATAATACAAAATTATATTTAATAATTATGAAGATTCATATTAACCTGTCTGTACGTGACGTACTAGGGGTACTATATGGTCTATATCTATCTATACCGCCTAATAAATGTACGTAATAAAATGCATCAATATAATACTAACAAATTTTATTAATGTCAAAGTGATAATTACCACTTCCGGGCTCCAAACGTCTTGGAGATTCCTTATATGATTTGTTTTTGTCAACATTTACATCTAAGACGGGATCCATTTTGGCTGATGTATAATCAAAAAGGCTACATAATTCATCACCAATACTTTCAGGAAGCTCCTATGATTAATTATATAGACATCCAATAATTTGATAATAATTTTTTAAGATGTCATTATATCGAGATTAGTTATGGCCTAAAGTACTTAAATCTTTCGCCAGATATTAGTGACTCTACCTGTCCATCACGACTAATTTTTACAGGTTTATTATCATTCCAGGGATTGCGAATGTTGTGGGTTCGCTCAAATGACAAATTACCGCTATCGACATAATAAATTCTAATAAATAACATTCTATAGTGTACTTTGAGACAAAATAATGAAATATAGTAAATACATTTTTAGCCATCTGACACTAAAATTTCCACCAAGAGAAGATCCGCTAATGTCTGTCCACGATGCATGTTTTATAGTACCTACATCAGACTCCATTAAGCAGAATCCTAAAATTGTTATTGAAACGTTGTAATAAACTCAAAAATTTATTAAATAAATAAATCAAACAGGCTTTTTTCATATTACCTTGAAAATGTCGGCTATTATTCACGGAAAAAATCAGAATAACTCTTTTTGAGTTCTAAACAGAAAGATAATTATAATATTTGTTTAGCTAGGTGATTAAAAACAATAAAATTAACAGAAACAATAACGTTGATAATGTACTCTAAATGCATCGCTTAATACACTAGCGTTAATAGGTTGTGTGGCCCAGACACCCTAAAAGTCAAATAACTTTTAGAATTATGTATATGATATTCAAGAGGAAAAATAGAGACATACGTCGATTTGCGATTTCTGGACGTTTTCGTGATTGTGACTCTTCATAATAAAGTAGCGAGTTATATCTGAAGAGTTTTTCATCGTCTCTAATCACGCATATGAGTCAATAGTAATTAGAAAAAGATTAACTTTATCTTATATTGGACTAATTTTTACATACCATTTCGTGATTCACCTGTACAATACGAGGTATCGCTCTGACGTTTTGAACGAGGTTCTAAAAGATGATTATGTACTCGTTAGTTATCACAGAACTATAATATCTAAAATTATTTGATATATAATCACCTTTATCGTAATTATCAGTTATTGGTTTTGGAGTGTGATGATAATCAGAAGTATGGGTAGAAGTGTCAAAATTTCGTTCGCGTGGCGTGTCATCCCGATGCGAATGTCCTTTGATTTTTTTGTCACTCTTACTACCCCCAGTTTCCATGCGGCGACTATGGCTAATGTAATATCGACTTATGTTCGAGTCCCTTTCGTTCAATTTACCAGAGCGTGATTTTTGTATTTTATAATGATGGTTAACGGCATACCCGTTGGAAGAGGTAGACGTCAACCTTCTATGGTGAAATTCACGATTACTCCAATTAATTTTCTTTGGTCTGCCAATGGATGTTGAAGGTCTCATCATAGTATAGGCGGATGATTTGATGCTTATTTTCCGTGTATCCTTTGGTTGTGAAAAAAGTCAGGAATTTTTGGGAACAATATTGTGTGGAAACAAAAGCTGATGTTATGTGATATGGTTCCATTGCTGATTATTTTCTTCATATACCCTTTAATGTTTTTTTCATATACCCTTTAATGTTTTTCATCTGAACACGTTATCAACTGAATAATGACAATTAATAATGACTCATCCAATCAATTGTTCACATTGTTCGCTCAAGTCATGCAAAATGTTCATTAATGTCCTCGATCCGGCATCCAATAGCCAAAATGTCCAAATAGACAAAATCGAAAACAAAAGCAAATTCCATAAAACAATGAATGTCCATGTTCAATTTGCGAATTTAAAAAACAAAACTCCAGCAAAGCCGCAAATCAAAAGTGCCATTCGACAACATGGTGGTGAAGATAGGGAAAAGTGGCCCAATGCCTACCTGGTGGGTTACGCCACTATGTTTGACATCTTTAATAGAGTCATTGTCATTAATGTCAGATTTTTCATTACCATTGGATTTACCATTTGATGTACATTGAGTGTCCGAATAATTGCCTTCAGTCTTGCTACGTGGACGGTGTCGGTTGGAATTTCCATTGGGAATTTCTACTTCCTTTGTTTCTTTTTCCTCAACAGCACCAGAAAGTTTTTGAGCAGTGTTTGGTTTTTGACTGTAAGTGTCTTCGTCTGGCTCATAATCCACCTCATCCTCATCAACAAATAACTCTGATATAACAATATCTTCCTCTAAAATGTGTTGATCCATTGCTGAGAATGTTTTTTTTTTTTGTGGAAATGCACCTTAAGTGTGCAAATATTGAAATTTTTATAGAAAAAGATCGGAACTCGGAGTGCAAAGCCCGTAAATAAACATATAAATGTAACGGTAAAATATGCATATAAAATCAGGTGACGTGACCAATTATTTATCACTATCGTTATCATATCAGTATGTACAAAATTTATATATATACTCTAAAGCACCCGTATTGATATGGTAATGGCTACATTCGCTACTGATAAAGACCTTAATGCTGTTACTTCACAAGATGTTCATCTGGGTGTAAATAGCTTTTCTGCTATTGCTTGCGTTGAAGACCGAGATGTAACTTTAGCAACAGCTACAACCGAGATTTTTGGACGCTTTCAGTTTTTGAAGGTATATTTTCGAATGTCTACTAACATACACCCTAAACAACGCTTCTATATTATGCGAAAAGATTATACTGACGATAAAGCATTTTTAAGACGCTTTTACATCCTAATATTTGTGAATATGTAGAAATAGTTAAAGGAAAACATGGTAATTCGATAAATTTATATGCATTAATTTCAATTTTCATAGATGAGTTTTTAGACAAGCAAATTGAATCAATTTAAATTAGACCGTCTATTTGTTATATTCGAATATCACATGAACCATGTTGGTAAATTATATCACCGTAACGAGGAGGGTATCATGCATGTAACGAGGTAATAGATTATTAGGAAAAAAAAAATATCAATAATTCACAGAACGGTTGATTGAAGCAAGAAGCAAAGGAAAAAAAAAAACAATAATTGTCAATAATAATTAATAATTATCAATAAAATTATTATTTAATCAATCAGATTTTTGATAAATCAGCAGTAATGCGAAGATTTCCAGTGCTTGCTTGCCTTGTTCATCCTTCTCAATGGGGTTTTTTTTTTTACACGTAATAGAATCGTATTAACTTGGTTTTTGAAAATTCGAAGTGTAGGAGACTTTATGACCCGTGAATGGGCATTTCAGATCCTGAAAGCGTTAGCATATTTAAATAAAAACAATATTACGCATCATAATTTGGCTCCGAATAATATCTTACTTGATTCTCAGGTAAATGAATAGATATAATCGTCTTGGCTATGATAGAACGTTTCTGTAAATTTTTATAATACTCTTTAGGGTAGAGCGAAATTAGCAGACTATGGACTATATTTTATGACTAAAGGTGGTGCCAATGTTGACTTCCCAATTGGGTAAGTATTATATAGTTGTGCTTCATTTGCGATGCAACATAATTTTAATTTTTTTTTGTGGATTTGCGAAAGCTATCCTCATTATATTCCACCGGAAGCAATCTATCGCTCAGGCGACATGGCTGAAACTACCGGAAAGGTACATATATATTTATTAAATTTATTTCTTTTTTTTTAAAAAAAAAGTGTTAAATATTATTATTATTATTAAGATTGATGTATGGTCGTTAGGAGTGATATTGGCAGAACTTGCTACTGGTTCACCATTCTGGGAAGGTAATGATAAAGACATTAGTAGAATTTTTTCTTCATTATGGAAACTCCAATCCATTGCAGAAGAAGAAGAGAAAGAAGAACTTTGGGATCGGTTTGCTGTTTGCCAGCTTGGGATAAGTGAGGAAATATTGGATTTTCTTCAGGGAAATGATGGTGACGAGAATGTGGATTTTCGAAGGCTCGTCAGAGCGTGTTTGGAAGTAAATCCTTCTAATAGATGTTCACCAGAACAATTATTATCACATCCGTATTTTTCATCAATATATGAGAATAAGAATGGTATTAATGAGAACTATAGATATTGGTGGATAAAACCGTTCTTACAATCACAAAGGTTAAAAGTGGGAGACGATTTTTTGGAGCATCTGGATGAGCCACACAATAAAGATGTTCTTGATGGAATGCCGTTATCACAGATTTATTATTTTTGGAAACTAGCAGGGGGTGATGTAGAATCGGAATTAGCTAAAAGAGGCTATATGTCAAGTACACCGCCAATAGAAAGGATTCCTAGGACCGTAAAGGTACTGGATGGGAAGGAAGAAGGTACGACAAAAGACACAGCCTTCTTGTATTCTGATACTGTATACAGTTTACCACTTAAGGAACTTCGACAGAGATTAAGATCAGCTGCTGGACCCAACAAGGAAACATTTGAATGGGATTCAGATTATTTCCTCGTTGTAGATGAAAATGACATGAATTTTCTTGTTGAAGAAATGTTGGATGATGAAAATTTAGGTCCTAAAGATGAATTACTTGAGGAAATACTTGGGAAATATCTCTATCCAGATCCCAACAATAATAAACCAACATCATCATCAGCAAATGGTCAAAGCCCACCATCATCAAATAATGTTAAGTCACCATTACTTGCACGGGAAAAAGACGTTGTATATCAGTTCCAAAGGGTAGCCCTTTTTAGTGAATTACTTAGACAATATCCAGCATCCCGTGACGAAATAATTCATCAAGCTAAAGTAGATATACCACCCTTTTTGCGCGGAAAAATTTGGGCTGCTATATTGGGTATTAATGGAGATTATCAAGCTATATATGATGCTTATGATAAAGAAACAGAAAAAGAGAATCAAACCGATCGTCAGGTTAGCATATTATTATTATTATTTGCAGCAATGACTTTTAGATATTAAATTTGTATTATAATCTTATTTATTAGATTGATGTCGGTAATGTGTTTGAAATTCTTTGATATATATTTGGATTCATAATATCTAATAAGTTTGATTGGGATCGAAATATTTTTTTTCAGACGTTCCAAGATGTCACCAATATCATCAACTACTTTCTTCCCCTGTTGGGCATGATAAACTGAGAAGACTTTTGAAATGTTTTGTAGCTGCAAATAAACAAAATTTGGTTTATTGGCAAGGTATTTAAATTGACCTTATTATTTAATTGTGAATTAACAATTGACATTCATTTTCATTTTCATAGGACTTGATTCTCTATGCGCACCTTTCTTAACTCTCAATTTTAATGATGAAGCTCTGGCATTCAGTTGCTATCATGCGTTTATTCCTAAATTTATGAAAGATTTTTTTATATCTGATAACTCATCTGTTATCCGAGAATATCTTGCGGTCTTTAGCCATCTTCTGTCATTCCATGATCCGGAACTATCTAGACACCTCAACAAGATTGGATATAAACCCGATTTATATGCTGTCCCATGGTTTTTAACATTGTTCACACGTAAGTTCTTTCTACCTTATTATTTATCATTTCCCATTACCAAAATTTCTTATAACATTTATTTAATCAGATGTGTTTCCACTCGATAAGACCTATCATTTATGGGATAAAGTTATTGTTGGACCACCATCATTACCATTATTCACTGGTGTTTCGATTATAAGACAATTTCGTGATACACTCATCAAATCTGAGTTTAATGATTGTTTAATGGTTGCCGATTCATTTCCAAATGTTGATATTGAAAAGTGTGTTCAATCAGCATTATCAATGTATAAAGTTACACCTCCTTCAGTGATATATCGTGTACACGAGTCGGATGCGGAAACTCATGAAAATCAAGTATATATTGCTATAACATCTTTCTTTAAAATGATAAGTCACGCATTTTTGTAAAATTCTTTATTTTATTTTTATTATGTAATTTTTAAAGCATGATCAACGCTGGTGGGAACAGCCTACACCTATCGAAGTAAAAGAAGCCGAATTGGCACCCAGAATATCACTTAAGGATTTAGTTAAACTAAAAAATTACGTTTTAGTAATTGATACGAGAACTGAACAGGAGTACGTTTTGATTAATTGTTTGTCATTTATGACATTTGATTTTGTAACTAAACGCTTTATTATTTGTTATTTATAGATTTGGAAGAGGCCATTTTCCATTATCAATTAATATGAATCCAGCACATCTAGAACAATTGTCACAGACATTGTGGCAAGAAAAAAAGAAGTACCATGTTGTAGTTGGAGAAATTGGAATACGTGGAGGATCAGGGCCGCAGGTTTGCATATCTATTTTATAATTCAAAAATCTTAACAAAGAGGATTCTTTTTAAGACAAATTTTTTTCTTTTTCAAGTTTGCTAGTGATTTAGTCGAAGCAGGTTTTCCACGTGTTGCCGTATTAAACGGCGGTATAAACGTAATGCGTGTGGATGCAGTAGGAGTTGTCGTATGCTCTTGTGCTTGCACGCCGATAAAGCCACCAGGGGTTAAAAACAAAGATGGAGCTGTTGTTTATTGGAAATGTTCACAAAACTTAATGAATTAATGATAACAGCTAAAAGCATAAGCATGGTTTATATTTATGTAAATTCTTGTATGAATATCTCTTAAATATATAAATATACAATTTTGGGCAAAAACATTATGTGTATAATATTATGAGATGTTAACATGCGTTTTTTTTTTTTTTTTTTACATCAGAAAACTTTACACTAGAGGTGGAATATAATTTAAGATCTTTGTTATGGCTTTTGTGTGTCTCTTAATAATCTTTCATTTAGATAAAGTTTAAAACAAGTAGTATTGAAATTACAAATAGATGAGATAAACTTATAACATAGCATATTATGAATAGAATCAACCTAGAAAATAATGTACATATATGTTATCCAATTGCATGTACTTTATCTCGTTAGGCCATTCTAATATAAATCTTAATATTTTTATATACCGAATTTTTGATATTAATATTATTTTTAAATTTCTTTAAATTCGACAATTTGGGTTTCTACGGCCGTTGGTTATCAAATTCCGATGATTTTGATCAGGGAATAAAGAAAGTGACAATTTTTCTATTTTATTCCACTTGAAACGGTTTCGTTTTTTTCCATTCTTGTTCTTAGTGCTTTGCAGGTATAGTATAATATCTCGTGACATTAATTTGTAATACAATATAATCATCCCGTGATCTTGATATAGATTATATATTCCGATTTTCAACTGTGCCTTTGGTTTACGGGCATTACATCGTACACAGCCGGAGTCGAACATCACTTTATTTCCGTAGAAATTTCATGACCATGCGTTCTAACCGTTAATCCAAATCAGAATTATTATCGAATTTTTAAGTTGTGATTGGATGATAACGGTTAATTTTAGGCACAAAAAATTTCGCTGTTAGGTTTTGCTATTCATTTAGGTTACGTAGAGTTTGATACTAAAATTTTGCAAAAACTTTTTGTTAATGCGTAAAAGTATTTTTTGGTTTGTCTTGATTTTTTGTGTTTCCTGATCTTGAAATTTGATTGGCCAGCGAAATTGTTAGGTTGGTAACGCTAGGACAGTTCGACAATAGGTGATAACGAATTAAAATTAACCGCATTGTCAGTAGTATTTGTAATCAACCTAAACTTGCTGACTTAACTAATCTCTCATTTTCTGTAATTGGCTAATTTCAATTTACGCAACTATTTTTTTTATTGTTGCAAACATGTAATAATATATTTTAGTTGCGAAAAAAATAATTATTTTTGAATAGCGCAAATAAACTATTTAAATAAAAAAATTGAATTTCAGACATTGCGCTAATCTTAACATTAAAAAGGACTACTTATAAAAAATTGAACTTTCATGTCTATATTAACCATATATACAATCAAAAACTAGTATAATTTTCATATGTCCGTTCGAATCTGACTGAACACCTCGAAGTATGGCACTCACTACGATATACATCACAGAATAAGTTAAACGACATTATATGGAGTTTGTCAATAGAAAAGGAGGAAATTTTTTCTAAGTAAAAGTTTTTAAATTTTAAATTAAAATATCTCAACATTATTAAATTAATTAAAAAAATTTTTATTAAATTTAATTCATTAGAGATATTTTAATTTAAATGTTTTAAAAAAATTTACTAAAAACCTCTACCCCTTTCATATTAACAAGCTCCCATATAGGAATTGGACTTGTCAATTCGTAACTATAATAACTCGAATTTGTCGTTAATAAAATTTGAAATGTGGATACGTATTAGATACATTTACTTTTATCAATATTACTCTTAATAGCACTACGTAGTGATATTGTAACACCCCAATTTGACTGTTTTATATATAATAAGAAAAAATTATATCGAATTTAATTTGGTTGTTTTCATGATACGTATAACTACGCTAGAATCTAGAAATAGTTAGATACTTTTATTATTTTCGGTTTACCGCTGTCTGCTTAAGGCGTTGGAGTTGCACCTGACTAAAATTAGCCCCTGAAATTAGATTTTCTTGCATACATTAGTAAATAATTTTAGGCAAGTTGTAACTTGAAGTAGATAAGTCCAAACTTCAAGCACAAAGATTATCGAGAATCGGCGTAACAATATCGATATAAAAATAAAATTTAATTTTAGCCAATTAGATTCTTACTGATTAGCCAATAAAAATAAAATTTTCTCACCTGAATAATAAGTGCCCTCCGCTGCACTCCGGTCATTCCAAGACTATATTTTTCTTGATTCTTTACGAAAAGAATATCGATCTTTGTCAATAATTGCTTTGAATGTAAGAATGCATCCAATACAGATAATATAACAGAATAATAATAAATCAAATATAGATTTATACATTTTATTTAATTTGCAAATTTTGACCAAATAGAATTTTACACATTTGTTGTTAAAATTAAAACTAATCTGTTGATTGTTTGTGTACATTATTTGATTAAATAGAATTTTATATTGAAAAACTCATTAGAATCAAAAAAAAATGGGAGAAATTCGTGATGAATTTGATAAGGTGTTTAATATATATACAGTATATTTATATATTATTCATATAATGAAATCAAAAAATTTCTAAAGAATGCTTATTTAACTAGATTGACAATGGTATTCGTAAAAGAAAGGATTCTGCTCGTAATCAAGAAAAGTCATCCGAACTAGAAGCCATCAAATGGAATCAAACAGAGGATTTTACTACTTATACAACAAGATTTTGCGAACTTGTTGATGATGCCGGACTGAATGATGCACCTGATAAATGCAAAGTAGAATTATTTTTGCAATCACTTCCACATGATCTCAATAATATTGTTCAAAAACAAATCAAACTTCAGAAAGTTATTAATAGAGGCTTCCAACCTACTTTTGAATATGTAATTACAATTGCAACAATGCATGTTGATGAAATCAAAAATAAATCTTTAACCCAATCACTCTGCTCGTTATATGAAGTTGTTGTTTTCAATAATAAGGAGACAGTTTTCCGTTACTTCATCATGTCATTCGTAATTTTTCTAGTATTTTTGGTTCCATATATATTTTTTGATAAACCAGATGACTCTATTTTTCGAGATTTTGCAAAATCAACTGAAGATATAGTCTCGAAAATCAATTCAGCCGATCTTCCAGGTATATACAGTATGCAAATATAATATTAATAATTAAAAATCATGCTAATGGATTCTTTATAGGATCAAACGAGATCATGAAACATACAGTAGAATGTAAAAGAACTGCAAATCTAATCGAAAGAGATCCAGCTTTTAAAGATACAGGAGCTATAATTGCTACTAAGCTTCGAAAATTTGGGGAAAGTGTTATGGAAGCAGGAAATGATCTACAAGTAATGTATCGTAAAGGATCCTATGTCTTTGAAACTTTTAAAATTGAAATCGGAATCATGATGAATAGACTTGATATTCAAGAACCTAATAAAGGCGATTTCTTTAAAGAAAGAATTAACAAAATGATTTTAGTGGTTCAAGATTTTAGTAATAAAATTAAGAAAGCCAAAGACTCTATTATAGATGCAGAGAATAACCGAGATGGACTTGAAAAGGAACTTATAAGCGGAATTAGAGAAGCAGAAAAGTTTATGGAATTAAAAGGATTCTGGAAACCTGATTCGGTTGATTTGAGGAAAGCCGAAAATGGATTAGCTACAGTTAATAACATTTTTTTCCATCTTAAAGGAGCAGCTTATCGATTGGATGATATAATTAAGAACTTGAGAAGATATGAAAATAGTTTATTCGATGTAAACGCAGAATTGGGAAGCATTTTTATTGTTACTAAACAGGATTTTAATTATTTGTTAAATTCTATCGATGTTTTGCAGCGTTACCATCGCAAATTTATGGAAAAAGAAAATAGTTAATTATTACTAATTTTAGAGCTGTTGAATCTTTCAATAACCCATATTTTTTATATAAAATGAAATAAAATCTGTCATATAAATCAAATATTAACAACGATGGTATCATCAATTGAGACGTCTGTTTTTATGCTACTTCTGTTAATAATGTTCTTGCATTGTCACATATTTTATTATTCATTTCTAGATGCCCATACTCACTAATTAGCACAAATGAAATGAATTGAGAAAATTTGCATAATAGTAAACATTAATAAACTCAAGTTTCAAAGTTAGTGTAAAATCGAAGACGTATGTGAATATATAAGAACCATATTTTGGCGGAATAACGTGGTAAGTTTTTATGATTAACCTTGGAAACTTGTAAAGTCCTATGTATACATTTTTAATATACATTTTGTAAGTATTACGGGTATAGAAAAGCCACATCGGCTGTGGGCATCAAAGGTCAGATCTCCCAATGGTTACTAACCAACAGGTAAAGTTAGCATTAATAATAATAACCACAGGTGAAAATTAGCAACCATTAGGAAACAACAGGAACATGAGTCGAATATAGGAAATATTTTTATGATTATGTCTTTATTAGTTATATACTTAAATAACAGTAATATATAGTTTAGTCTTACAGGTAAGTGTGTGTACTTTGCGTGAATACTATATCTATTCATTGAGTGTTTTATTTGTGAACTCTAGTTGATCATATAAAATCTTGTTATTTGTAAAAATTGTCATAAAAAGGTAGGATCAATTTCGTTCTTTATAATATGCGACAGATTAAAATGAAATCTGTATAGTGTAGAATAGACAAGCCACCGAAAAATACAAAATTTGGAAGTGCTTTAGGGGTAGAGTTTACATTGAACTAGGAAAATGTCATATGATTGGTCAATTTTTGTAAAATTATTTGTAATTATATATAATAATCAACTAATCAAATTACAATAATACTAGAAATAAAAAAAAATTTGTATAAAAAAGTTCATAAATTAATAAAGAATTAACTTTTTTAATTTATAATTTACAAATGCAAATATACTACACTATAGTAATAAACAAATTTAAAAGTTATACGTATTAATCTAACTACTGTAATATAAGAGTACTAATTTAACAATAAAACAAATAAAATACCAAACATATTAAATGCTTAGATTCACAAAAGCCAGTATCTAACAAACTAATTACTATCAATTTAATATGCAAGACATAAGATATATTTAATTAAATAGTAATAAAAGTTTTTTATTAAATAAAATTAAGTATTTCATCTTTTTAGTATGCTTTAGTTGTCTTTTTCTGCTATTTAGCATTTGGAGGTGTCAATAGAAACGCATCATATTATTTTTAATGAAATTTTTTTAAATCTTTAAACAAAACTAATTTAGCAAAAACTTTATCAAATTAATAAAAAATTTTTTAAATAAATTCTATAAATTTTTAGAATTATTTTTAAAAAAATTTATTAAATTGTTAAAGTTATTGTTAAGTTATCTTTGTATAAAGTTTTAAAAAAATTTACTTAAAAAAATATGATGCATTTCTATTGACTTATCTTTATTTATATGTAAATCTTATAATAATTAATAGTAAAATATTTGCTTTTAAATAAAATTTTTTAGATTATTAATTATTTTAGATTATTATTAAATAGTGAATATTAATTTTTTTTGCATATTAAATTGTTTTAGCCTATAAGACAAAAGTGTATTATATTGCTAACTTTAAATTATTTAATCTTTTTTCAAATTATATTATAAAATATAATTTTAATTTTAAAATTTATATATTATATTTTTTAACAATTTATTTTATAACAAACAATTTGTTCAAATTTAGCAGTAATAAATATTATAAATTTAAAAAATTTTATTAATATAAATGCATATTATATATAAATAACATGTGTACAAAAATTAAATTTTAATTTAAAAATATATATAAAATATATATATATTATAAAGTAAAATTATAATATATAAGGATGGCAATCCTAGTGTAGTGATTAGGTTGTCATCCTTTAAGTAGCAGGTCTAAGGTTCAAATCTTATCTATGCTGAAATTTGAAACTTAATCTGTGTTATGACAAACTGTCTTTTGATGATCAGTTGAATTTGTGTATTTGTAACCTTAAGTCATACAATCTCGAATAAAAACTTGAGGCATTTATGCCAAGTGTAACGTTATATGTATATAGAAAAATATTAATAACTAGTATCATATAAGACTTTGGTGCAAACCTACAATAAGATCATTAGGTGTAGTAAATTAAGGAACTGAAGAGTCAGAAACTTACTTGAAAATTCTTGAATAAAGAGATAGTATGAACTTTTGACAGTACAGTCAAACTAATAAAAGCCTATAAAATACTTTCAAAGAGATAGGTGAATAAATCAGATGTCAAGATGTATAGAAAAGCACATGACCAATTAGATTGCTAGAATTGCTAAAAGAAAAGGATATATGAGTATATCATACTAGGCTATTTGGATTAAAAGTCAGAGGAGTCTTGTTAGTTCTGAGTAGTAGTTAGTAAGAGATAATAGAGAAGACATTGTAATGATAGGTACTAGGTTCTAGTGAACTTTACAAAGATAGAAATAGTATAATATAGCAGTTAAACAGGTAACCTCTATAATTGCAAGTATTAGATAACTATAGTGTATTATATAAAACTAGATTAGCTATATGTAGAATATAAAAGGTTCTAGTAAGTTTCCTGTCAAGAATAAACTAGTCCTAAGGATCTTGAAAGCATTGGGTACTTTGAATAAGTATAGCCCAAAAGATGTCCTTATGATCACAAGTTAGATTATATATGCAGAAAGTTTAAATAGACAAGACCTGTAGTTGGCTTGCAGATATGGTACCTAGTATAGAATCTGTATAGTAATGTATAGGCAGACTACTTAAATTAGATACCAAAAGTGCATGTGTAACTAGTTGTAATCTCCTATGTATAGAAGCCCTTGGAGGCATCTGTGTTCAAATACTTAAATAAAAATATCAATTTTCAAAGACAGGAACTTTAATATTAAAAAAAAAAAAAATTTATAATATATACAAAATATTAATTTTTTTTAGTAAAATAAATGTTTATATACATTGTGTTTACTGTATATATCCAATTTATATTACTAACTGTTATATGCAATATAGATTATATATTTAATAATTAACCAATTAGAATTGATATATATTATACTATAATTGGCTAATAATAAAGTTTGGTTATATATTTTAAATAGATATATCAAAATTTTTATCTGTGCTTTAAATTCTAATTCTATATTATTGGTAATTTTATTAAATATAATATTTTATTCTAATATACTTTAAATTAAATATGATAAATTTTTATATATTAATAAGCAATCAATTAAAAAACACTCTCTTTGCTAATTCTTAATTTCTAAACAAAGCCAAACAAATATAAAAGAAAAACACAAAAACAGCTCAATAAACCTTATTTTAGACTCTAAGAAAGAAAACTTAGCATGCAAAATACAACTACTTTACTTTAATAATAGTATAAGTAAAGTTCTGTCAAACAAAATTTCTTACTAATTTTACAGATTTTAAAAAAATTTTTTAGAAAAATTGAGAAATGGCATTAAATCTTGAAAAACATAATTGAAACATGTGACTAGCCATTAATACAAACAAAAACAACATGTTATGTTATACTAAACAACAAATAGTAACAACAAATAGCTTTATTAAAAAATAACAAATAAGTACAGCATGTAAAATAAGCAAATAAATGAATAACAGAATAGTTTAGAAATAGAAGTACAAACTAGATTAGGACTATCATATAGTACAAACCTAATTTAACATATTAAGGGTTTCAGTAATAGAAATAGAAGATATATAGATAGTAAAATACTAGATGCAGTCTTAGAAAACTTATAAGAAATCCTGATAATCTAGAGTATATAGCAAGAGACTTGGCAATTTATAATTTAAAAAACATTACAGCAAATGATTTACTTCTTTATAGCCAAATACTAAAAGTACTCAAAATAGTAGAAGTATGTACAGTTTTATATAATACTATAGAAGAATAAGCATAAAAACTAACATCAATAGACATAATTTCTAGATTATTCAGCTATCAAATAAATACAAATAAGAGAAAAATATCAAGAAAAGAAACAAAGCTAGAAGGAATGAAAGAGAAAAAAAAAGGTCAGAAAAGCAAAAATGCTTATACATATAAAGAAAAAATATCAAGAACATAAAAATAAAAAAAAAAGAAATAAATTAAGATTTAAAAGGAGTTATAAAACAAATAGAAGAACTAAGCATTTCAATTACAAATCAATATAACTTTAAAGACTTCAAAAACATAACTATAGAAAAACTGCTAATAAAAACAATAAGATGTAAAGACAGTAATTAGAAGAAAGAAAATAAAAAAAACCAAGAAGAGTCAACAGATGACAGAATATACAATCTTAAAAAAAAAACTAAAAATATAAATAGAAGAATAGCAGAACTAAAAGCAAAAAAAAAAAATCAAAAAACTTTAGAACTAACAGATACAATAGAGTAAAGTCAGTAGTCATTAAGAAACCATATATGTGATAGAAGTAAATTCTTTAAGACAAACATGCCAACATATATAGTGTTAAGTAAAAACAAAAAAGAAAGCATTAAATATATATAGTAGATTTTTCGATAAAATCATTATATTAAATTAATTCAAGAACTTTTCAAAAAGAGAAATAGTTGAGTAGAAATAAACTTTGACTGTGAATTTAGCAGAGATGCAACAATGAAAATAATTAAAAAAAAAGAAGATAAATGGCTTAAAATCATTTTAGAAAAACCAAAAAATCAAGAAAAGAAACAGAAACAGCAAGTATTAAGAAGCAAGAGAAAAGAAGTAAAAGAATTCAAAAATGCTATTAGACAAAGAAAAAAAGAAAACAATAAAAATAGCCATGCAATGAAAGATAAGTTAGAAGTAAAGTTACATTTAACAATATGGAATTTAC